CCATCCATCCATCCATCCATCCATCCATCCATCCATCCATCCATCCATCCATCCATCATCTTCCGCTTGTTCCTAAGTTGGGTCGCGGGGCAGCAGCTTGAGCAGGGAGGCCCAGACATCTCTTTCCACAGCCTCCTCTTCCAGCTCTTCTGAGAGGATTCCAAGGCGTTCCCAGGTCAACCGAGAGACACAGTCTCTCCAGCGTGTCCTGGATCTTCCCCGTGGTCTCCTCCCAGTCAGACATGCCCGAAGCACCTCCCTAGGGAGGCACCCAGGAGGCATCCTCACCAGATGCTCGAACCACATCAACTGTCTCCTCTTGACATGGAGGAGCAGTGGTTCTACTCTGAGTTTCTCTCAGATAACTGAACTTTTCACTCTCTCTAAGGGAGACAGAGTCCAGCTACCCTGCGAAGGAAACTCATTTCAAACGCTTGTATTTGCAATCTCATTCGGTCACTACCCAGAGCTCGTGACCATGGATGAGAGTAGGAACGTAAACCGAGAGCTTTGCCTTACAGCTCAGCTCTCTCTTCACCACAACGAACCGGTACAGCGTCCGCAATACTGCAGATGCTGCACCAATCCATCTGTTAATCTCATGCTCCATTCTTCCCTCACTCATGAACAAAACCCCGAGATACTTGAACTCCTCCACTTGAGGCAGAACCTCACCCTCGACCTGAAGAGAGCAATCCTTCCTTTCCCGGTTGAGGACCATGGCCTCAGATTTGGAGGTGCTGATTCTCATCCCAGCTGCTTCACCTTATACTATAATATTATAATAACTATAATAATCTGCTGACTCTTGTTAATAAACAAGGACTCTTATATCTTCCTTTATTTGAAATACGTTTTAAAATTATCATGTCAAACTGATTTGCTTACAAGCAGTAACAACTTAATTAAAAAAAAGTTTTTTTTTTTGTTTTTTTTTCAGGTTCTGGCCTCTAATTACAGTTAATTGGTCAGTTTCAGGTCGGGCTCAGAAAAAATGATACGGGTTCAAGCTGGGTCAGATTTTTTAGGCCTGAATGTAACTCTACTGCACAGGAGTTTTTTTTTTAAGGCAGAAAACACTTGAAGCTACCGCTCCCAAACGTTAAGTCTGACAACAGCACGTGTTGGTCGCAAACACAAAATTCAGTGAAACTGCAACAGAGTTGCATATTTTCTTGCAATTTTGAGGTACTAACCAGTCTTCCATACTCACAGCCCACTGAGACACTGGCTTCAGCTAACTATATCCCATCTTTTTTTTCAAATTTTGCGTCATGTTCATGGTGTAGACTTGACATCAATATCTATATTCGGATCTTAAGAAGTTCTCACACACTATATTAGGTCTCAGGATGGTTTCCTTCCTGTTCTTGGCAACAGGAGATTTTCTGTGTAAGACTTCTGTTCACTTGTGGAATAAGGAAGATGTTAACAGAAACAGTGTACAGGACATATTACAGTCAAGAATAATCAAACAAGAATGCTTATAAAAAACAATTATCACCCCTTAAAAACACCTCAGCAAAAAAATTCACGCAAATGTTGGATTTAATGTATAAATAAAGTGAACATGTTTACTGAATTCAATGATTTTTCCACTCCACCATTTGTTTGATGTATTGTTCTAATAAAAATGTGTACTCTGTATTAAAAGGTGATTTAAGTCAATCAGTCCAAATATTTGCACTTTGAAAGTTGATACTTGCAATATAAAGATTTTTCTTTCTCTAGAAACTGAATACAAAATTTAAAAATAACATTGAACCATTTGCTAACACACAGAAGACATTTTTTACATTAAAAATCATTCTCATACATTTTGATATTTTTTCCTAATCTTGCAAAGAAGTCAAAGAAACATCTGTCCAGTTTCTCTTTTCTTAAGAACAGAACTGTTCTTAATTATAAATTAGGATACAAAGGAGTTGATGAAACCAATTATAAAAACTGAATATTAAAGAATACCATCCATTATGGCTCACTACACTTTGGGCTGACAGAAACAGCATGCGAGCTGCTAGACTCTTTACAAAAGAGATTACCCCATGTAGTGAATATTGAATACAGAATTAGCTGGCCTTTGATCTGCCCATCAGGAGTAACATGTGATGAATCAAACATCACATTGGTCTGGAAGTGAGCTTTGCCAAGTCCTTTTGGGTGAAACAAAA